TGAGCTAGAATCTCCAGGAACACCACGCCATCAAACTTGTTTACCCGAGTAAAAGACGAATTCAAGCTATAAACCAAAACAAACAAAAACAGCAGCAATAACAAAAAAAGAGAGCTTCCTCTCACAGTTTCGGTGTTTATCAAAGAAATGACCCTTACACCAGATGGTGTATGCTTGGTATAAACACCATTGCACAGCACCATCTAATGTGACTTCACTGAACCAACATTCAACCAGCCCCAATCTGCCCTGCAGCTTGCAACAGGGACAGATGGGAATAGTTTAGTGCTGCAGGGCAGACATGATCTAGTTTAATGAGTAAAAAAGCCAGAGTTCACAGAATAACAAAAATAATGACAACGGATTCTTGGAATAGGATGTAATTGCACCAGTACCTGTGATATGTGGTCACCGCCTCTGCATTTTGTTTCGGGATTACAGAATATGTGGTAACGTGACCCTTTTGTTGTAACATTAGTCATGAAATAAATCATTATATTTTGGCGTCAGGATCTGGAGGAAATGCAGAGTCCCACCCTCCAGGTCTGAGCATGCAATAAGCAATGGTGACGGATAGGTATTATGAGGAGTTTCCTCCTGCCTCCGTTAGGGATTTGCAATAATCTCCTTTAAAATGAGTCACTGGTAGATTACCATATTGCCTGCTGTAGGCCAGGATATCCTATATAGGCTATGCTAATAGGTGAAACAGGAGGTTCACTGGTGGACTTGGAATAGCTACAGTGCTAACCTGTGCCTGGGAAGCACTTTCCTCTGCACTATTAATGTATTAGATACTCCTGCTGTGCACACAGAAAGTCATACCTGCATGCTTATGAAATGGCTGCTGTTAAAAAAAAGGAAAGAAAATCTCTTTATGCATTTATGACAAGCAGTATTTACTGTGACGATCAGGATGATCTTTTTCACACACACTTGGGAGCAAAGATCAGCAAATATACCCATAGAGATTTATACAGCAATTTGAATACCATATCTTCTCTGTGCACAGACCATGAATTCTTTATGGGGACCATTGTTTCATATTGTACAATTATCAGTGCGTGTTTCACTATACATAGATAGCGTTAGTTTGGAAGCCTTTTTGATCATCTGTGTTTTTGAAATTGAAGCCTCGTTATAACTGGTGTGCTGATTCTATTTTTCCAGAGCAGGTTGTCTGTGCAGCAAATAAAATGATCCACAACCCCGAGAGCGTCTTAGTTCCTCATGTGGATTAGGTTATTATACATTAGTCATAATAATATATGTTATAGTCATTATCATGATTGTGTAAGGGTTTGTTTTTAATTACGCTTATATATCTCAATCATTTGTAAACAAGATTGGCTAGTGAAACATGCACTGTGGGAAAAATCAAAATCCAATTTATGAATTATAAATATAGAGTTTCTACTCCTATTTTTCCATTTAATATGGATATTTGATTACAGGGTAATTTCAAAAAGAATCTTTTCTGTGAAGTTTCCTCCGCTTCTTTCAGTAAGACTGAATGCGAAGAAAATCTGCAGCTATGTGGCACTACCTACTCTGCAGTGACACTACATTCTCAGCAAGCTAATGCATTTACTACACTTGCTTAAGAGGCGTCAGGAGTGTCTGAAGCTCTTTGCACTGATTAAACTAAAGGCCAGAAACAAGGCCTCAAAAGGGCAATTAGAATAAGCATGCTGCCACGAGCTAGCATACAGACAGAGCATGACCCTGTACATTTGTTTGGCGCATACATAGCACTTCTAGCTTTGCAGACTCCCTGGTGTATGAATAATTACCATGCATAAAACCTTTAAAGATTTATGAATCTCTGTGAAGCACAGCAGTATTTCTGTATCATGATTCACATCCGCAGGTCTATTACAGAATTACTGCTGCAGAAAATGACTTCACATAAACACAGACTTTGGCAGAACCTGTTTTGGAGGATATATAAATACATTTAAATGAACCCCGAGGTTAAGATTATACGATGCAAGGCTATAGAAATACTGCTTGCAACTTCTGCGATCCGTTCTGTAACTGAATTTCTACATATCTGGCTTACTGAGAAGGCAGTAACATTTACAGAAATAAACATTTAGGAAATTGTAAATTATAGTACAATTGTGCATTGTAGTACTGCAACCTTAAATGTTCATGAAAGGTCACAAGAACATGAATTAAAACAAGACTGAAAGCCTACAGGCATGATGGTTTAAGTTAAACCTGAGGTACACTCACCAGATGGTTTATTAACACCTGTTGTGTCAGGAACTGATTGTCTGTCAAAAAGCGACTAAATATGGCCTGTATTTGTATAGCGCTTTACTAGTCCCTAAGGACCCCAAAGCGCTTTACACAACCAGTCATCCACCCATTCACACACTGGTGATGGCAAGCTACATTGTAGCCACAGCCACCCTGGGGCGCACTGACAGAGGCGAGGCTGCCGGACACTGGCGCCACCGGGTCCTCTGACCACCACCAGTAGGCAACGGGTGAAGTGTCTCGCCCAAGGACACACTGTCCAAGCCAGGGCTCGAACCGGCAACCTTCCAATTACAAGGCAAACCCCCAACTCTTGAGCCACAATCGCCACAATAACATTAAGATTCATGATCTATTGGCCTGTAATATGTGAAACATATGCCAAATGTATCCATCATGGATGATATCAAGCCATCTACAGCAGCAAACAATATTCCTGTGACAAGGTAGAAGCTGTTTAATATATCCAATATTTATCCAGTTAAAGAGTATCAGTGACATTAAAAATGTCTTCTTTAAGAAGGATTTTGTCAAGAGGGTAGGAGAAATTGGAATAAATATAACATAACAGTTCTATAGAGGTTTTTAAAGTCTGGTTGGTTATAGTGTTGGTCCTGTATTACAGAGTCATAAAGATACTAGCAAAACATGTAATTTATTTGTAATTTTATATATAACCCCTTTGTAAATCCAGCTGACTACAGTCTATTTACCAATATCAACAAAGACATTACACATAAAAAAAACACTAGATGCACATCTATGATGCGACTCTCCCGGCAACTCAAAGTTTGGGATGATCTCAAAGAGTGTTGCTATATGGTGCGTCCTGATCTTTTGATACAAGGAAAGGTGGATCAATGATCAGGCAACATTTTTCCAATATTCTGTTGTCTAGTGAGCTGGTGTGAAATATAGCCTCAGTTTCCCGTTCTTGGCTGACAGGAGTGGCACAAAGTGTAGTCCTCCGTTGTTGCAGCCCATCTGCCTCAAGGTTTAATGTATTTTGCATTTGTCTTTTGAGCTGCTCAAGAGAAACTAAACTGCTACTTATTGAACATTTGGTCATTTTCAGACCATTCTTTTAAACGGTCCCTAGATACAGTTGTACAAGAAATCAGCAGCAGTTTTGGCGGCATGATTACCAGAGTCACAAAGACTCATCCTCTTTTTGCAGTTAATTTACAAAACCTTCCAATTGATTAATCTATCAGCTCACTGATGAGAAACTTCAGTAATAATCATGGTGGCAGACTAGCATGAATCATTGCTTTTTCCCCCCCTTTTTTTTTGCAAATGTCTGCCATTTTTTTCAAACATTTACACATTTTTGTACTCTAAATAATAAATATAAATGGCAAGTAAATCCCGTTTGAAGAGACTGAATTGCGGGTATGCTCAAGCTTAACCTTCTTTTAAAGAGAATTGTCTATTCTTAATGCTGTAATTTAATCTACTAAGTGAAATGATCAGGGTGAGGAGTGAAGCAAAAAAAGGTTTTGGACATAATCCTGTGACAAACGGAAACGCTTAGTAGAAATGCTTCCATTATTCATTGGGCCAGCTTTAATCCAATTCATTAGGAGAATTTCACAAAAGGAGATCGGTGAAGTCCTCTTATGTCCTTTTTTTTTTTTCTTTTCTTGTTAAGATGAGGGGGGCACAGATGCATTTCATATCCAAAGAAAATTAATTTGCATTCTTGTTAGGAATGCTCCTGTTTCATATTAGTACGGTATACACATAGAATAAAATTTTATACAAGAATTGGCAAAAAAACAGTGCATAATATTGTACCCAAGAGCAGCACTGTGCACTGAGCTGACAGGAGAACAGCACTCCTGTCAGCTGTGAAGGTTCCTGTGAATGTGCATGCAGAGTGGACTAGCAAAGAAATCAGGTGGCTGTTGAGACACAGTAAACACAACATACACGTGAAAATTAAACAACCTCATCTTTATGCTTTTGGGTTGGTCTTGCTTCTATGTATGCATTTTTTTCTCTTTTCCCAGTGCAGAGATCATTTTGGATCCTTAAATACACCGGGCTTGTTGTTGTAGGAACAAGGTTTCCTCCTGACCTATTTATGGAGCATCTTTTCAAGCCGTTTCACTCGCATTCAGCTGCTGCTCTTTCTGAACATGAGCCGATGTAAAGAATTTGACTGACATTCTCGTGGTGTGAATGAGTGCAAAACACTTATTGTCAATGCTATTCTGGATGTGGTAGATGTGCAACGCTATGATAAACCAAGAATCAAACCAAGGATGTTATTAAGATTTTCATTTACAATTTTCATTTTGCCTTTTTTTCCCCCTCTAAGCAGGTTGTGCTGATAGTTGAGAAAGTAGGCTCAGTGCTGTCAGTTTCTTGCAGTTCCAGTCATACTTCCCACAGCTTTTCAGAAATACAGTAGCTATCCACAACCCCATGTTTGGTGACCTGTCATTGCTCTCCTTTAAAGTGAAAGCCCACTCGACAGAGAAAGCATCATTCTGAAAGCCCTCTTTCTGCAGATGCTATATTGTTTTGAGATTACTGCAGAGTTCTGCTACTTTCTTCCTCATTATACAATTGAAGGGCTGTCTTTATAACCTCAAACAGTATAATAAAGGCATGCAATGATGTAGTTTCATGTTTGAATAAGACTCAGCTGCTATTAACATAATCCTTGTTGCTAAAAAACCTTCATGTTGAGCATAGGGCAAAGTGGCAGAAACGATAAATGCCAGAAATTATGCTTCACAAAACAATAAAATAGGCAGACCTTTATTGTTGAATGTGATACATGTTTTTGGTTTTCCTTCCACTGTCATGACATGATCAGACTGAACCTGCATCATGTAAAGGGACTGAAAATATCACATTCTGTAGGTACAAATGTCCATATAAAAACACTATGATCACACCGTCATATTTCACTGTTGAAATACAGCAATGACAGTCATGTGGCTATTATGTCTTTAATGTCATATGTTAGACTCTTCATATCTGTTAGATAGAAAATAGACAAAAATAATTTCATATATTTTTCATAAATTCTCAAAAACATTACCGAGTGATCACAACATAAAATAATCAGTAACAATTTGAATTATTCGCAAGTACAACCCCATTAGCAAAATAACTTTCTTTTCCCACATCACAGACTACATTACCACAATTTCTTCATATTTCTTTAAAGTACCTTTAACAGCATAGTGTAATGGACAATCTCTGATCTGTTTCAGGAAAAAAAAGATAAACCGATGCAAAAAAAAAGGATTCACTCCATAAAATAAGTCCATCTTCTGTGCTGAATAAAATTAAAAGTACACTCAAGCACTCTTCACATATAATTTCATATTTCTTTGAGGCACTCATTGCCTTTCAGCTCAATGTTCCCACCTGTAACGGCCCTGTTGGTGATAAACGCTTGTTACAATAAGCTTTAACAGATTAGGACTAAATAAAATGTGACTATAAGGGCAATCACCCATCTGTGATTGGAGCTTATCCAGCTTAGGCACACATTTTTATGACCAAGAAAAAAAAAAACACTTGATAGAGAATGGAAAATAACCAAAAAAGGGGGATCAATTTTTCAGCATGGCCAGTCAGAGTTTTGTCATTGGTATGTGCAGGTTGTTCCAAGGTCCCATCCACAATTCCTCCTCATCTGATAATGTGTGGTCACTGTGGGACTCCAGTGTCTCCCTACTGTTCTTGTGGTTGTCAACTGAAGTCTCTTGCTGCTCAGTGACACACGGGCCACTGCTGTTTCTGTCAATTGTGGCCTTGGCAATATTGGTTTTGGACCCAAAACTTTTAAGCTCTTTAATGGTGGAACCCAGGGAACTACAAGAGGACCGAGTGTTGAGGTTGATGTCCATGTTGGAGGGAACACTCGTACCTCTTTCATTTTCTGCTTCGTTTCCCATGTCCTCAACACTAATAACCGGAGGCGGTTCTTCATGTGTTACGCCCAGCTTTTCTAGTTTTTTAAAATGCTTACCCAGCCGACATGGAGAACCCATCTTTAGGTTGTTTAGATGAGGCGGTCGCCTAGTTCGCACAATAGTGCCATTCTGTGCGAGGTAGATATTCCCGTTTATGTTGCTGTGGCTGTTTGGGAGTCTGTTCCGTTGCGTCTCTGTGCTGCTGTCCTCTGCAGTGGAGCTGGTCTCGTTTTCCCGATCTACAATCAACTTAATCCGCTTCTTTCTCCCAGGCTGAGGAGAAAGTGGAGGGTTATTGTTATTATATTTACTTTTTTTAAGAGTGTGCAGTAAGTGAAAAATAATTTAAAAAAAACCCACACACAGAAACAAGTACTGTATAATTTAAAAAAAAAAATGGGAAAAAAAGTTGTTTTGAAAAGAATTTGCAGTAACTGTTTAAACCAGAACCTGGCTAAAACCAGCTTTATCATTTTTTAAAGTTTCTGTTCTGTGCTAGACTTGCATTTTAGTGAGAAATTTCGTGTTTCCATAGAAAACGACAACCACACAGTAATAATCTGAACATCACAAGAAACACAACCTCCCAAAAAACACACTGAGCAATAAGTCATGCAAATTTCCACTCTAGAAACACGGCAAGAAAACATGAAAGAGAACAGAAAGCCAAAGATGTGAGAAAGAGAGATTCCAATATTGCAGCAGGAAAATCAGGTCCTTTCTTGCTAAGGGGAAATGAGGAAAAAGTGAATGTGAACTCTCTAGAGGCAAGCAATATTTCTTCACTCCCATGCAAGGGTAATTGATTTTATTCACTCTTACTTCACAGTGGACAATATATCTCTCTAGAAGGCAGTTGACTTTCCCTCAGAATCTGAATCAGCATCGGATGTTTCTTCAGTTTCTTCTGAGCTCTTTGATGCACTGCGGGTCCCTGATCCAGAGTCCCTGACTGAGGATCTGTCAGAGGAGATGGCATCCTCGTCCACCTCTGTGATAGGAGACAGTCCTCCGTATGTCTCTTCCGAGGTGTCACCAATGCTTCTGATCTCAGAGTGGGCAGGAGGACCAGTGTAGGACGTAGAAGGCCCAGGGTCTCCGGATGCCACACTGGATCTCCTAGATGATCCTGAATCACTGAGTTCGCTGGTGGACTCTTTGCTCTCGTCATCAGCCTCAGAGTCTTCCTCATCCTCCTCTTCACTTTCCTCTGTGATTGTGTCCTCAGATCCACGGCTCACAATAGACTTTCGGGAACTTCGGCTGCCACTAGTTGACTTGGAACCGGCTGAGCTCATGCTGCCCAAAGAACTCACGTCTGAACCAGACGTTTTTCTCTGGCTGGACCGGGATAATGAGCCTTCACTTCCTGAACCTGATTCTGGCTCACTGGCTGTCCCTGTCCCCGACTCGGCTTCACTGAGGTCCCCGCTGGACTTCTCTGAGGTTACTGCTGATGATCTAACACTTGAGCCAGATAAAGATGCAGCAGTACCACCGCTACCACTGCCACTCTCACTTGTACTTTCACTTCTGCTACCACTGACACTGGAACTCCCACTGACACTCTTTCCAGAAGCACCACTCCCCTTGCTGGCTTCAGTCGCAGAGGATCTCGTGGAAGAACGAACAGAAGAACCACTTTCTCTAGTGCTGCCTGAAGCTTCCTCAGACTCGTCTTCAGAGTCTTTCTCTGTTTCTGAATCCTTTTCTGTGCTTGTTCCCCCCTCTGTTGCTGAGCCTGTTCGTGATTCTGTTTCTTCCTCAGACTGTGACTCTTTCTCGGTGTCTGACTCTTTCTCAGTTTCTGACTCTTTCTCGGTTTCTGACTCTTTCTCGGTTTCTGACTCTTTTTCGGTTTCTGACTCTTTTTCTGTAGCTGATGACTTCTCTGATTCTGACTCCTTCTCTGACTCAGATTCTTTCTCACTGGCAGATTCCTTATCCGTCTCTTCTTCTTCAGACTTGGACTTGCTTTCCTCATCAGAATCTCCTGGCTCTTCATCAGGCTCTTCCTCTGAGTCCACGGTGCTTTCATTGGCATCATCCCGGTCTAAATCAACTTTGAGATAATCTCTGTCAACACTGCTTTTCTCTGAGGTTTCATCGTCAGAGCCCTTCTCTTTACTGCTTCCACTAGCACCTGCTTCTTGCTCACTTTCTGTCACACTAATGGACACTTTAGACTTTCTTTCATCCTCACTAGCTGCTTGTGAGGCTTCCTCATCTAGTTCACTACCAGTGGCTGAGCCACGACTCACACTACTCTGTGACTTTCTTCGGACCTGCAACTTTGTGCCCAAGTTGATTTTCCTCAAGACTTTCCCAAGCTTGCTACGGGCATCAGACTTGCTGTCTATTGGTCCCATAACTGCTGGTCCATCAGCTAGACTTTCCTGGCTGTCAATACGGCGAGCAGACATCAGTTTGGCATAATCCTTGTCCGTCTTCCCGGCGCCAAACATCTTGAACATCCTGGCTTTTTTCCATGGAGATGTGCCAGAAACACTGGCATCAGATGGCTGCTCTCCTCCCTTGCTGGCAGCCAGAAGTTTGCTGAGTTTCATGACAGACTTCAGTTTCTTGGCAGCGTTAGAAGGCTCACCCTCCTCTGCTGGCTCAGCTTGTTCAATTTCATCCTCTGGTGGCAAATCCCTAAACGCAACTCTCTTCTGCGGACCTCTACCTCGCATGCCACCACGGCCCCTGCCTCTGCCCCGGCCCTAAGATAATCACATTTCATTTAGCAACCATGAATTTGTGAATATAAAGCCATCGTGCTGCATAGGTTTCACACACATTACTGTTCAGTAATACCTTGAACACACAACTTATTAAAACAAATATTTGAGATAATACTCAAGATAATAAGTGAAAGTCTGAAATTCACATTCAAGCAAGGGTAATACCTCAGGGCCATGTGGACTGTAGTAATACCCATCATCCTCCACAATAACCTCTCCATATTCATCATACATGGGTGATATCAGCCTCCGCCGACTGCCATACTGAGGAAACTCGTACCTATAGTTGTTCACAGAAAAGGGATTAGAATTAGTTTAGGCTGATGATTAGTTGAAAACACCAAAGTTGACACACTGCAATATTAAAAAAAATAAATCTCTACCAGATTTATTACTTTAATATCAAAGATCCACTGTATCATGTAAGGGACCTGTTATTATTAGTGATAGTAAATATTCTGCATTGAAAAGGAAGATTGTCAATCTCCTATGGGAACAGGAATTATAGCAATATACTCACAAAGAATCAAGCAAGCTAGAAGGTTATTTACCCCATATCAATGTTTTAAAACCTGCATTGTATTTACAGTACAGTGTGATTTGCTCAGTAGCTAATAGAGGGGCTTAGTTTTGCTGTCTGGAATTCTTTCCATTATTATTTTTCAAGTCCTTTCTCTAAATTGCCCTCAATTATATCAGGCTGATCCCATTAATTACTGCTTTTGGTTGTTGTTAATATAACTGAGAACATCTTTGGTCAGACAGACAGTAATTGCTGTGGTGATTTACTGCACTTTTTGAAATTACTTTTCAATTTAGTGAGAAAGCAAACAAGAGGGGGAAAGCATGCAGGCTAAAAGGCTAAAAGAGTGTTCCTCCAAAAGAAAAGAAGACAAAACAAATATTTCAGTATATTTGCCTGTGTTTGTCAAAATCCTCTATTGAATTACAAGAATGCAACCACATGTAGAAATGGAAACTGTAACAAGCAATAACTAAAAGCCCATTAAAAGCACGTGAATTTAATTAGCTTGTTTAAAGACCACACGCTGTGTATGCAGAATGCTAACAAAGAAACACAAGAGAGAAGAAAAAAGTGTTAACGGTCAAATGACATAACATCGTATGGTAGCCGCAAACTTTTAAATATATAAATCAAATTTTGCTTTACTATATAATATGAGGCTGTACGCATTAATGCGGTGGTTTAATGCCTCACCTAGGATGTGAGTTAATATTTACTTTAAAATACTAAATTAGAGAGGTGGCTACCCTTCACGTCTGCTGTAAGGCCCGCGCAGTCTGGTGACTGCAGCATTAAAAGCTTAACTGCTAGTAAAGTTTGCCCCTCATCTCAAATAGGAGCAGATCAAAGTCTTCACATAGTGATGGTACACTCACTGGCAGTGGCAGCTTTTACCAAAAAAAAAAAAGTGACATGTCATTAAAATATAAGTCCAGCTTGTTAGAAATGAAGGTGTGATTCAGACAATAATTAAGCTGGCTGGTGAGAAACTACAGAGGCAATTACAACACTTGATTTCACTACGCACAGTTTTTTTTCCCCTAGTTTGTTAGATTTTCGTTCAGCGATTTAAGGCTGGAAGATATAAAAGCTTCTTCCCGTTTTGATAAAAGTTGCAGCATAATTCCCCACAGCAGCGCAAGTCACCTGCAACAGAGCAGGAGCGTTTAATGAATAACAATTTCTCAGCAGCTGTTACAGCTTTGAGTTCCATGTTTTTCCTTTTTAGACCATATGGGCAAAGTAACCGGGCAGCCAAAACAGCCTTTATCCATTAAGCTATGGGAAGAACATTCAGACTCTCAGGTGCCTGACTGAAGGGAGCATAACTGATCTCATTTTGGCAGGAGTAAAGAGGGCAAATGCTTGGATGGTATGTAATACTGAAGGGGCAGCTTAAGTTATGTGCATCATTTTATTCTGAGCTTCTTTGAAAATCTCATAATTCTCCAAGGATCTCGGCTCTCAAAGAGAGCTAGAAGGCAAGGTCAGGATGAAGAGGTCCTAATGATGTAACTTAAGAAAAAAAAAAACTTTAAATGAACCAAGGGAGATCAGGTCCATGGATTAGAGTACAACTGATTAGAGATAAAACAGTCAGTCGGCTGCATGCTCACCCCTGGTCATAATTATAGTAGTCCTGTGTGTAGTAGTCCTGGCCAGGGTCGATACCTGACTCCATGGAGAGTTCCTGCGTTTCAGAGGGGCAGAGAGAGAAATTACTCAGCACTCCTCACAATAAGACATCAGAAGATGAGCAGCAGCAGCACAAAGGGTGGGGGGCATGCACAGCAGAATGACCACAATTGCTTTAAATTTAGAAAAGCAGGTGTATTTCTACCTCAGGTCTCAGAAGAGATGGCCTCAGCAGTTGCTGTTGCTGCCAGAAGTTAGTAGAGAAGAAGGATAAAGTAAAGGAAGGGACAGGCAGCAGAGAAACAAACACGCGACAGACCTCAATCTACTTCAGATTTAAAGCCAGACAAAGCTGGACTCACTGAAACATCTACGGAGAAGGAAGGTGAAAAGATTGATAAATTATTGATGGAAACAAAGCAAGGAAGGAGAGTGAAGATCCCAGCCAAGCAATGGAGATGAAAGAAACTGCGCCCAATAAAAAGGAAGGAAGAAAGAAAGAAAGAAAACATCCTGTGCTTATCTGACACTGACAGTTCAGATGATTTAAAAGATTATTCGAAAGGAAAAAAAGACTTTAATGTCAAACTGACAAAAAAAATCACACTGTTTGGTTCCTGATTAGTTATTTTTCCACCAGAGGAGAAAAACTCATCCAACTGCTTATCTGCTATTTGACGGGAACATTGGAGAATACAAAAGACTCTCAAAAATCAAACCTAAACTGTAATGTCAGTGTCAGAACTTCTATCACCGCGATCTCATCTTAATCTCATTCACTGTTTTCCATAAAGTGAATCGCAGATAAGAATAATGGGATATAAGCTTCCTCATGCTTCCTCTAGTGTCAAAATGTCTGAGCACAACAAAAAGGTGTAAACACATCACGATGGGAATCCTTACCTGTCGGCCGTACCCTCGCCTCCTGCGTGTCACAGAAAGGAGAAAGATAAATAATGAATATAGACTGACAGCAACATTTCAAGTGCTTATAGATAAATTAAATGTTAAGTCTAGTGTGCCTACGTTCTGCTGACCAGAGAAGAAATAACAGCTTTACTTACTCTGCATTTTCAAGTGTTAAATTACAGCGTTGCAGATATTGTTCTGCTTTAAAAAAGGGTGCCTTAGGCTGCAATGTTATCACGCTGGTGTGGGCTGTTTTTTTTTTCTCTCCCTCTGTTATCTCACCCAAACAGGAACAATAAAAAAAATACAATAAATGCAAATATGAAAAGGGCTGGGAAAATTTGAAAGTCAGTGTTTATAAAGTCATATCTAATGAATCTACCAGCAGATATGAAAAGGACATTGTGATAAAGGGCAGAATTTCTGACTCAAAGAATTTTAATAAAAATGTCTTTGGTTATCACGTCATAATATGCCTACAGAAAGTAATGAATTTATTTTCTAATGAATTGGGGGAAATCTTAGAAATGTCACTATATTAACCACATGAAAAACAACTCAGAAGTCCTCCTGAGGATAAAAATGCGTCTGCATTGCCTTCAGTACGAGTGAATGAAACGGCAAGTAATGGAGCAGCTCGGCTGAAAGCTCCAGCTTCACGGGCGTACAACTGTAACCTGTCTGGGCCCATAAATGATGATGACTCTCACACACTCAGATATATGGCCAAGCAATGATGTGAGATTCCTCTGGAGAGTTGTAATCTGTTATTATGGGCAAGGACCAGGGGACAGGGCAGAGCCATATGCCACACCTCCCAGGCAGAGTGGACGATGGGACTGGGATCTGATGGATGACCTGTTGGCTTGGCTGCTGGCTACTGCTGTTTCATGCAACATGAAGAAAAATGGCCCAGTGCACAATAGCCATAGGAAGTTTGCACAAGAGAGGAGTTGGCAGAAGATGTGTGATGAAGAAATGTTATAGAAAAAGAGGTAAGAGTGGTGAACTCAGAATCACAGCAAGACTGGAATATTGAACAGCCTTGTATCATATCTATAACAGGAGGGTGATGTTGGCTCTGTTAATAAGTAGCTTTACTATCTGGCGGTGCAGATATTTACATGGAGACTAAAAATAGGATCTTTATCACTCTGCTGGTACAACAACATTTAGTAAAGCAAAGATAAACATGAAAAGGTTGAAAAATATAAAGATGAGGAACTTGTTTTTTAAAATTAGATATGTAACTGGAGTGAGCGCCCTTTTATCTTAGCAAACAAACAGAAAAACAAAAAGAAATGGGGAAGTATAATCACACTACCACTATCTTTGTGCAGAGATAACAAAGCTATCTATCAAAGCTCACAAATTAGCAGGATGCTATATTACTAGCGATCCCTTAACTGTCTAGCCAGGACAGGAAATGGCCAATTTTCATCATTCACAGGCACAACTGGTTACTGGCTGGTCAGTCTCACATATGTCCGTTATAAGCCACTCTAGTTCATGCGTCACAACATGCAGACAAATACAACTATTTGTGCTGTGAGTGTGCACAAACTTCTACAGAGTGAAGACACCAGGTTTACTTGGTTTTAGTGCACTAAAACATTTGTAACAACGAACCTAATCAGACACCTAAATAGCCTCACACAGCTGAGCATGGACATTTTAAAGAAGCTAACAAAGACAAAGTGGCAACAGCTAAAGCTATTCAGGGCTCACAGCCAGCGGCCTCAGTAAGAGCCTTGGTATTAGTGAACGATCAAAGAAGTTATGAGTGGAGGAAAATCATGGAGACAATAAGATAAAAGAATCAATCTCCTCTTAGCTGGTAAATTTCTAAACATAATAGAAAGTCTACTAGGTGTATAAAATTTGTTTTGTTACATAAATCTGCTGTACCTGCTTTTGCCAGTAAGGTAACATATGTCAAATAAAGGTGGGTGTACAGCAACACATTTTCAGTTAAATATTAGTACGTCTAGTAGAAAAGCACTTTATTTTCAGTTTTTTTAAGGGGGAGAGAAGATCTTGCAACCTACTCATACTTGAGGAAAATTGTGAAGTTGAATCATTTCTTCTTATTGTTATTTTCTTATTGAGAAAATTATATTTTGCATTGAAAAAAGCTGATTTTTGTTAGCAAATGCTGCCAGTTATAGTTCTTAGAAAAAAATCAAAACGGCCAAAATCTAGTATTAATCTGAATCTGCCAAGGATATTGAGGTTGATGCATATCTATTTATCAAATGCTACCTTGTTTTTTTAGCTGTAACCCAGATATTATACCTAATTTATTGTGGCTTTTGGGTGTGTTTGTTTCTTTTGGACAGAGCTGTTTCTTTATAACAGGATTTAGTTAAATATCTATTATGTGGACCAGAATAGAAGGATTATTTTCTAATGTAACTCACAGAAAGACACCTGCAAATCACCAAATGTTTAACTTTTCTTAACAAACAATAAATCTGGTATAAAGCTGCTTACTAATAAGCAATTTTTGTGCACACACCCGCTGTTTTCTATAGGAACAGCGGGTGTTCCTATAGCTGCCTATAGCTGCAACTGTATTTTCTCAGTTGCAGCTTAGATAATTCTACTAAAAACATAGCACGTTATGTGTATGTTACTCTTGACTTTGACTGTTTGTTTTTTTTGCATTCCCAATCAAAACTTTTTCTGAGAATAATTCTCTAGAAATAAACTTTAGCTTTCCTTTCTTTATTTTTTTTTTATATTACTGCATTGAACTGTCAGCTGGAATGCAAAACAATATTGATAAAACCAACTGTAAAAAAGAATATAAAGAAGACAATCCATTAAGACGGCTCTTTGGGTTGAAAGAAACAGCGTGTGATCACCTAGCCTCTTTGCAAAAGAGATTACCCCATGCAGTGAACATGGAATACAGAATTAGAGGACCTTCGATCGGCCCATCAGGGGAACATGTGATGAATCAAACATTACATTGCTCTGGAATTGAGGTATGCTAAGACCATTTGCCTTAGGGCATGGAAGGTGAAACAAACACATGAAGGGTATATAGCAGGAAGACAGAGCGGAGAGAAAGTGAGAAACCTGAACACAAGAAGAAGAAAAAAAGAAGAGAGCGGGAGCAGAGGCTGCATTGCAATGAGTCTAAAGAAGGTAATAGAATCTCCAGAGGACCAAAAGGAAAGATTAACAAGAAGAGGCCAAGGATTGGAAAGTATCAGAACTAACTGCAGGGAGAGGGGCGGTGTAAGAGACAGAGAAACGCAGGCAGGCAGAAGGTCAGAGGAATAGAAAAGGAAAGGAGAGAGTAACAGTAGTTGACAGTCCCACAGGCAGCAGCCCTGGTTAACGATTGATTGCTTCTCTAATTAGCCTTTTCCAGAGTGCAGACGAACATCACAGTGACTACTTTATCATGCTGAGAGGATCTTTGCGGACATGTGAATAGACAGGTCCCCCAGCGGTTGGCTCTCTTAATTCAACATGAGCCTCCTGGGATCAGCCGATGTATATCTTTTTATAGCTTCAACCAACATATGAGGCTTTCAAATAAACGTAGCTGGTACAGGCATTCACTTGTTTGAATAAAGACACTGTGTACAGCTTGTCATATTATATTATCCCGTATTTTTCGTTTGCTTCAGTATACATATTTTTGATTCTTTATGTACATATTTCACAGAATCCCACATCTCTAAAGGCTAGATTTCATTTTCAGTCACCATGTTATGTACTTAAATACACCTACAAGTAACACTTTCTGAATATGGGATTACCCTCACTGAAAACTGAGAAGCTTATTCCATAGATTTACATACCTTTGGGAAATTGGTGAAAACAGATATTGGAAAAAAAAAAGTCTAATATTATGTTGTTCTTCTTGCCTGATTTGGATTCTGGATGAAGCAATTGCATACTAAATTTTCATGCTCTTATCTCAGAGAAGAAGTAAAAGAACAAATTAAAAATCCCCAATATGAAGCCAGCCAGTGGTTGAAGAAACAGACCCCAGGGCTGTGGGACTTGAAAAAATGCTATTTAGTATAATTTAATTAAAATAGTTTTGGCTATGAAATGTTAATGTTAAGATTAAGATGGTGCATATGTATAACATGCTGAACCGACTAATCCGTGAACTCAGGGGCATACTTAATGCTATCACAGTCCTCATACCAGTTCACATAATTAAAATGTGAAAAAAAAGCCAAACCCATACTAAATATGCAAGCCTCTTTTTTTATACTGCTAAGAAAGGATCTCAGTACATTCCTTGGCTGATGGCTCTAGAATTTGAAAAAAAATGACATGACTAAAGCATATACCAACTGTATACAACATAAAATGCAGAAACAACAGGAAAAAAAACAGGCATGGAAATGTAGAAATGAACATAATGAGAATATGGAGACAAAGGAAAAGTCAGAACACAGTGGACTGAGAAGTAACCTGCTCACTGAGCTCAGCAGTGTTTGGACTGTTTGAGTTCAGTTGGCTTGTCTGCTGAATGTCTGCTGCTACGTTCGGTTTACTTGCAGCATTTCCAGCACAATTCACACTTGTTGGGTTGATTTGGACTTCAGAGCTGGAGTTGTTTGCTTTTGGCATGCTCTGCTCCTCACTGGTGTCAGAGCTTTGCAGTTTGTTAGTACACTCTGATTCCTCAGTCACTTGTGGTTTCGTGCTAAACTTGGGCGTCTTACAATTTTTGTCTACTTGGCTGTACAGGTTGGCAACAGACCTTTCTATGTCAGCTAGATTCTGGATGTTTTTCAGGATCCCTTTAAGCTCCTTCCTCCCACCGTCAGCTTGTGATGGTGAAAGCGGAGGGGGGTGTTTTCGTTCGGAAACGGGGCGAAGGGAAGACACGGGCGGCAAAGAGGTTGGGATAAACTGAACGACTGGGCGTGGCTGATTGCTAGTAGGTGATAGAGAGGGAGGCAGAGGTGGTGGGGGCGGAAGAGTGATGTGTTTATTGACAGGAGGAGGAGAAGAGGACTGAGAAGTACATTCAGGTTTATGAAGGGAGGAAAGTAGAGGTGGAGGAGGAGGAGGAGGAGGAGGGCTCGAGGGAGGAGGTGTGGGCGGAAAAGGTGGACGTGGCTGCTGCTGCAGTGGAGGAGAAGGCGGTGGATTTTCTGGTGGGTCAGGTATGATCTCCACAGTGATATGGCATGGCTCCTCTGTCAAATATTTGGAGATGCCAAACGTCTTGAGAATAGGCGCAGTTGATTTCTGGCTAGCCAGGGGGAAAGGCTCATCTCCCCGGGTAATGCTAAAGTTGGGGGGCACATCACTGCCCACAGACATTGGACTGTAGGGGTAATCCATAATGGATAGCAGAGCCTCTGAGGTCAGCTCCAGCATGTCATCACTGTCTCTGTCCCTGACAAGGATGGAAGAGAGGGAGCCTGCGGGTGCTCTATTTTGCTTGAGGGTTTGCTCCTGGAAGCCCCGATGCCCAAACTGCCCGGCCTGCTCACGGAATGACAACTTGGTCTCTGTGCTCCCACTCGCGTGAAGTATGTCTGAACTCGCTGGCCTTTGCTCGCCACTCATGCCTGCCTGGAGTATCTGCAGCTCCCATTTGGCTGGGTCTATAAGAGCCCGTCTCCTTGGTACCTCATAACCATGCTGTCCTCCATGAATGCGACCAGGCATTGACCAGACGAACCCTGACCCTGCTGTGTGGGGAGGAGAAAAGGAGAACCGCTTTTCAAATGGGCTCTCCCCACGTGCGTTAGGACTGCAGAGAGGAGTGTTATCATCATAGACAGGGTTGTGGGTGGTGAGTGGGCTGTGGTCAGAGAGGAAGGTCACGTTGCTCTCTGACTTGGGTAAGTTGACACGGAGTGCTCCGTTGCTGCGGGCTGCAATGGCACGACAGGCAAAGGTGCTAAGAATCCTCTGGTGGTCAGCCTCCTCAATGACAGAGTTTTTAGCCCTGCCCCGGCAAAAGATGGAGGTGAAGAAGAAAAAGACTTGAAACAGATAAAGACTGATAGGTTTGAGCTGAATAAAGCAAAGAAACAAAGGGTGAGGCAAAAGCAACTGTGCGAAAATATCTTGACAGACAGTCTCTCGTAGTACTGTGACTCAGATTTCTGTAGTTAAGCAAACAAAGAAATTTGTTTTGGGTTTTGGATGATTAAATATCTGCACAGTATAAAGTAACTAAAGCGCATCTGCATTCTTAAGAAATCAAAATAACAATGATTTGAATAAACTTTGCAAACTTAAAGAAATTACAAATCAAATATTGAAATTGTGAAATTATTACACTGAAATATATGAGCTCAGTAGCCATGATGAACCTATGCAGGATGCATTAGTGCCATCGGTCACAGCACAGAGAGATGTAGAGAGCAGTGAAACTAAGAGCAGCACAGTACAAAAGGACACAACAGTCTAATGGGACGCAAGAGAGGAGACATCTATGGCGATATCTTATGAAATGCACTACCTCTAAACAAAGTAAGCCTTCTCTTTTCCCTAACAAGAATGAAGTACGTGCATGAAAACCCACTAGGTCTTTCAACCCTTCATCAAGATAAATTACCAAACAAACTATGCCACTTAAATTCCAGAATTTAAGTATATTAATTATGTGCATATGTTTAAAAAAAACAAACAACTAAGCAGGCAGGGTAACAAGGACATTTTTCTTGCAAAATTTACACACAATACTGTTCATATTTATTGATCTCTGTCATGTTTTGGCATTACTTACTGCAGTCTGAATCCAGAGAGACAAGGGAATTGAAAATGAATGAGAAGATATAAACACAGACAGATGGTAAGAAGACTAAAGGAGAAATGTGAGGGGTGTTAATGGAAAATGAAAACATGGATGAAGCGTCGACACAAGGGTATGGCAGGTTTCTGCATTTTAAACTCAAATGCCAGACTGATTTACTTCTGTCTGTCATGCTGCGTGCATACAGTATAACTTTGAGAGCTTTTGTTTTTCCCAGATGGAAATGTATAATTTTAAGAGAAACTCTTCTTCTTCCTGGTGAAAACTGGGAAATAAGCCCCGTGTACACAATTCTTAGCTACAATACAAAAATGGCCATAAAAATTCTACTTATGCTACAGAATCAAATGTTTCTGCCTACATTTAAAAACTGCGGTGGGCATATTGTGGACACTCTTCGTAGCTTAATGTTAGGTTTACATTTTCTTTTTTTAAAATGCAAAAGTGACATTAGAAGCAGTATTCCTTGAATGTGCTGAAAATCAAAATTGCTAAGCCCATAAGCTCAGCAGTTTAAATGTAGTCTCATTTAATCTGCAAACATTAACATTTCATCACACATTTAGGGCAGGATTTAATATTAAAGCTGAAATTTGATTGTGCTGATAGCAAAACACTTTGGACCAAAGTTAGGGAAGCACTTAATGTAGGCTACCGCAGGTTACATTTTTAAAGGAAACTCGTGACAATCATTGAACTTGGACATTATTCTGTATCTGTTTCTATTTCTAGGAAACCATGTGCTTTTTTATTAACCTAAACACACTCTTACCTTAAGAGAGGTTCTTGCTAAAATGCATAGGCACTCAACTAGAAACACATAGATAAGCTAAAATCTAGTCACTTGCTGTGCTGCACCATACGGTGCAGTTTGCAGACATCAAAAGTGGATCGTAGTTACAGAGACAACAAGCAGAGAGATCCTTTGATGCAACTATTAATGTGTCTCAAGCAGTGTGGAGACTCCTGAGGTCAACATCCAGAGCAGCCAGTGGCCATTTCAGAAAAGAGGATTGATAGAGGGGTAATATTTTTTTCTGAGCTTGAATAAAACACTCACAGGGAGAAACCTGCGAGGCCAGATGCAGCAGCATCTGATCATGGGGACTAAAAGAAATGCGTGGGATGGGAAAATACTTAGAGGACAAGCTTGACTCACATGCTGCTGTCGCCCAACTCTTCATAGAGGTTAGCAGTGGGAGCAGCTGCCGGAGCTGCTTTCCCTCCCGGTGGTAAAGCCATCTGAATCCTGGCAGTTTTGGCACACTCTGCTTGTCGCCTGCGCAAAGTGTTAATGTGGTTAAGAATAAACCAGACACATGACTTATGCATCAAGTCTCTACTATGAATTACCCATGTGTTTTGAGAAGTCATTCTCACCCCAGAAAGAGGAACACGAAGAGATATTCTAGATGCAAAATTCAGTTTTAGCAACATCAAGCTTTTAAATTATATTTAAAAAAATCCCTCAAAAACCATTTTGCAGCAATTAGCTGTGGTATTCTTTTTTATTTAATTTATTCACTAATGTTAGTCAAACAATTTTATTAAAATGTATCAAAACAAATAGCACTGGTCTCACACTGCATTTTAGGCTGATTTGTTTTGTCAACCGCAGAGTAATAATATAATAACCAGCTTCTTTTGGCTTGCAAGGAAACAGTCAATGCTGCTGCGGTTGTGCAAGTAAGATTTGAAAAGCATTTTCATGGTTTTCAGCTATGTGCTAGATTATTCAAGCTTATTTCTTTTGAAATACAGACTAAAAATTATGCAAATGCAGTATACTGTATGTGTAGCAAAAGACATGATGAATGTGCCAGCTCAACTGTATCCAGCAGAGTGACAAGTGTAACTATAATTTTTCTTTCGAATGTAATCAAATTTTCCACATTAAGAGAAACTTTTCAGCCACAAATGCACATTCAGTCTGTGACCTAGAAGATGAATCAGCCTTGCGCTGTGCCCTTAATGCTAGAGACACCTCAAAAGGTTGGCATTAGCTGGCAAGCATTCTGTTCATCACATTTTCACAATATTCAACTCGACTTTAAATAACTAATAATGAAGATGAAAGAAAGTAGTGTCACACCCACACAGGCACACACATCGAGCAATGAGCAGCCACTTGTAAAACATGAGAAATTACTTACTCTTTGAACCTGATCACAGCGTTTTTGATGCAGAGCAAAGGAGATGGAACAAGAAGAGGGAGAGATGGGGGACAAAAAAAGACATGAAATTACATAACTATAATTACATAATTTGGCATGAGTGCAACCTCACAATTTCGATGCTTTGAGGTATTTATCTAAGCGCAAAGTAAGTAACATTTTCATATTTCAAATTGCCGTTACGTATTCACAACTACATTCAGGTCCTCGACGTGAATGTGCAAATTGATGTCTTAAATAATAAATTCATCCCCAAATTTAGACAACAATGAATTATGTTGACAAACACAACTGAGAAAATTAACTTTACCAAAGTAATGTCGCCACCAACAAAGCACCATCTGCTACGACAGTTTGTGTGTTAGGTCTACTGTCACCATCAATAGTTTTCTGCTGTGTGTTTGGTCTGTGCATTTGAATAAGTACAACCGCTCTACCCATCTGCCATGAATAAACATTTCCCAAATATTACCGTTTACGGTACACTTGCAGCATACCAACATTTAGATAAGAACCTGGCTCTTGCCAAATGAGAGTTCAATTATCACACCAGTCTGAATGATGCTTCAAAGCAAAAAGCGTCATATTTTTTGAGGATTGCACTGCGCGCGGGAGAGAGGGCACCGTCTGTTGTGTGTGTCGGGCAGAGATGATTAAGTAGCATGAAGACGCACTGTGACGGTCACAATTGGCTGTAGATGTTTGTCACAAATGAGTGTTAATTAATCTGCTTTCACACAGCATGAGCAGGGAGATTAGCCCAGCAGAGTGCGCAGTCAGCATGTCTGATGAGTGCGAGAGATACCGAGGAAGAGCGTTGGAAGTGAGAGAGAGATAGAGAGACGCACACACAAAAAGCTAAAACTAACGCAAGAAGTGCTCTTATTTTATCTTAAATACACTTTTCAGTGATGCTGTTTGCGGTTTCGCTGGCTTTGCTCTTACAAGCCACAGGAAACACGATATTAACACTAAGCTACATTCCTACAATAACTATCTGATTCGTCTGTGCAGAGCAAACCTTTCAAAAAAACCCAGAGTGACACGCAATATCTCCTAAGACAATGACCTGCTAAATTAAAATTTATTCGCTGACATCCAGTTAAAGATGATTAATCAATCACAGAGCCCAGTGATTATTATAGGAATACTGACTGTTTGTAGGTGACCATGACGATGAGAATGGCAGGGATGCAGCAAAGGATAATGATGATCGCCAGGGCCAGGAGGGCACCCTCTGTGTAGCCGACAGCCTGGGCAGCCTTCTTCACAGTGTCTACAATATCTGGGGAGCGAATCTCAAGAATGCGGCCACCTTCACCCAGGTAAGGCTGAAACTCCTTATTGATTTCCAGCACGTTCCCATCGAGAAATCTGCATTCGACATACATAAGGTGAACACAAAAAAGACACTTACTTTGTAATCAATGTCAATGTCAAGAGAACATAATAAATGTTTTTTATTAAATATTATTAAAAATGTGTCAAAAGGCAATATATTAGAATTCCTTAACATAAAGCATGATGATGAATCATCTGAATCTGCAGCTGTTTTACTTCTTAACAGGCTTTGTAGCAAGTTTATACTCTTTTACACATTATGTTTTGCCACAGCAGTCTCCTGCTTACAGAGGACAGCTCTAATTACTCACTGCAGGTAGTTTACAGCTAAAGGAACATATCTTCTAAAGAATGTGTTAGCTTTTTAGCTCAGAGAGTAAATACTGAACACAAGACATGAATCATACTGATCATAATAATTAGCATTAAGAGCAAATGAAAAGCAATTATAATACTTACACTTTTCTAAAAGTGTCAATTCACACTTGTTTTTCTGCATAAACCAATGGCAGTATATGCATCAATATTTTCAAAAAAACCCATACATGCATACAAAGCAATTAATTTAGAGATGATGCAATGTTACTATGCAAAACAAACCATTCCAAAAGGACAATCATACATACATATGTAACCACCATCACTTTTGTTTTTCTGTACGTGAGTAGGTTATGTAAGATTTGAAAAGCATTTTCATGGTTTTCAGC